CTCGGGAAGTGGGAGCCCGAGGCCCTGGCCTGTGGGATGTGGGGCGTGGACAGGACGGAGGGGGGCGGGGCATCCCTCACGTTAGTAACCCAAGGACAGCTGCGGGCCCCTCTTCTGCTCACATGGCTTTCCCCGGGAAAACTGCTCTTGAACTTCTAAGCTCCTCTACCAGCCAACCACGCTTCAACCTGAAGTCGGACACACACGCTCACTTCCCTAATGAGTCACCGCTGCTCCACACCCCAGATCAGTTTTTAAACTCTGTTTGCTGGCGTCCTAAGAACCAGTGCCTGCAACACCTTCCCATTCTGAAGTGACCCTCCCTCCACCAGTGTCACCTGATCTCCCTCACCTGAGGACACCCCCAGCAGAAGCCTCTGCACCTGGCCCACAGAACCCGGAGCGGGGGAGGGGGGGAGGGGGGACGGGGGGCAGGAGGCATCCAAAGGTAGCAGAGAGAGATGGCTCTACTGACACCATGATGTCTAATTCTAGCCTTCAGAACTGCAAAAGAACACAATTCCAGTTTTGCTCTTTTGTTTTTCTATACTTTTTGCAAAGTAGACCCCTGAGAATGGTGGTAAAAAAGGGCACTCTCACTCTACCCTATGGTCCCAAACCCATATTTTCTAGCTACTGGGGAGGTAGCAACATATAAAGGTCATACACAGAGACAGGTGTCTGCAAACCTTTTCATGTCCTTTTTAAAAATATTTTAATTTTATGTGTGTGTGTGTGTGTGTGTGTGTGTGTGTGTGTGTGTGTGTTATTGATTTCAGAGAGGAAGAAAGAGAGAGAGATACATCAATGATGAGAGAGAGTCATTGATTGGCTGCCTCCTGCACGCCCCACCCTGGGGATCAAGCCCACAACCCAGGCACGGGCCCTGACCAGGAATGGAACCGTGACCTCCCCATTCATAGGTAGAGGCTCAACCACTGATCCACGCCAGCTGGGCTCTTTTTTTTTTTTTTTTTTTTTTTGAAAAAAATCTTCCATTTGTTTTGAGTTATACTGCCATTCATTTGAACTTTTGTTTGTTTTTTATTCAATTACCATTTACATTCAGTATTATTTAGTACTAGTTCTAGGTGTATGGCTTAGTGGTTAGGCAAGTCATACTTTACAAAGTGTCACCCCTGGATATTGCAAGTACTCAGCCCTTTTTACATCTCCCCCCTCCCTGCCAGTTTCAATGTGACTTCTGAAAATCCTTGATATAAGGCTACTGATCAGCTAGTCTTCTGTTGGTTATTCAAGTTAATTGTTCTATATTTTTGTTGTACTTCTAGTTTGGTCCTGGGAGGAGGTGAGTGTAACTTCCACCTACTTTGCCACCATCTTGGATCTGCCTTCCTGCAAACTTTTTCTACAAAGAGCGATAATGAATGTCAGGCCACTTACTATCTGTCTCTGTATGCAATAGGCACCTTCATGTTTGCAGAGGGAAAGCACAACATGCAAGTGAATGGGGAACCACATTTGGATACTGTCATAGTTTCCTGGCCCCACATTTAGGGTGTCCCACATATGGATGTCATGTCTGTTAGAAAATCATCCCCTAGGGTTCCTGCAGGGTGTGTTGAAGAGCCAGAAACATGCCCTATTTTGCCTGTGGCTTCTGGGTGGAGTGAATGTGAGAGGATGTGGGTCCCACAGGTGGGGGCCTTTACTCAACTCCTTTCTGTAGACTGGATTCCTTGATCCAAGGAGACTGTGAGAGACACTGATGAAGCTATAGGTGTGAGCTTAGGGCTCTGTAGGTGCAACATTTCTGGTGTCAAGATCAGCATCTCATTCATTCCCTGTGACCCTGCTCATCTCAGTGCCTGAAGAATCATTTCTGTCTTGTGACCACTACGTTTATTTCACTTAATGACACTCCTGATGAGAAACTCTAATAGTCCATAGCCAGAGGCCTCATCCCTACCAGCTTGGTGCTTTACCACAGCCTCTTTAAGTGCTCTATCATCTGCAAAGCCTGAAATACTTTAAGTCAGCAGTTCTCAACCTGTGGGTCACGACCCCTTTGGCGGTCGAACGACCCTTTCACAGGGGTCGCCTAAGACCACCCTGCATATCAGATATTTACATTATGATTCATAACAGTAGCAACATGACAGTTATGAAGTAGCAACGAAAATAATTTTATGGTTGGGTCACAACATGAGGAACTGTATTTAAAGGGCCAGAAGGTTGAGAACCACTGCTTTAAGTGATGTGGATTTCCCTGCTGCAAGTGACATGGCCTTGCTTCTGAACACTAGGGATCTGAGTTGTGATTCTCCAATAGAAATGCCATGAAGGCCCTAAAGCACCTTGTGCTACTACAGATATTTCTGGTATCCTTGGTCTGCTGGGTCTTATGCCTCAAGAACAAGGTCCATTCACATTCACGTATTGTCTATGACTTCTTTCATGTTACAACAGCAGTGCTGAGTAGTTGCAACTGAGATCTATCATCTGCAAAGCCTGAAATACTTACTGGATACTCATTTATTGAAAGTTTTTTGGGCCAGGATGGCAACTAAATAGGAGGAAAAAACGATCATACCCCTGCAATCTTAGAGAGGTTTTAAGATTGGTACTCTTCTCTATCATTTTGTCCAGGATAAAATACTATTTTAACAATCTATTAGGGAAAAGAAATCACAGTTTCAGAAGGTTGCACTTGAATTCCCCTACTGTGTGGCACTCAACCTACAAGAAATTCACTAACTACAATAATTTCCTATTCTTGTTACTAACCTGGGGAATTCGAAATGACCAGTGTGTGGGTGGCTGGATTAAATGATAGCACTGTGAGCAGGACCTGGGGCAGGTGTCTGTTCATTACCGGGGCCCCCACACCATGCACCACTTTAGTAACAGGGCCCATGATGATACCTCTCATCTCTGGGAATGATGTCTCACACACTAGCTCCAATATGAATGTAGGTATGTAGGTAGTTTCTGTTTCCCAGTGTACATTTAGCCAAGTAATGGCCATTTGGCACTTGCTGTCAGCTTGAAGGCTCCCTCCTCATGGGAACCAGGCCTCTCCTTCTAGTAATGGGTTACTGGTCTCAGAAGTGGCTCAGTTCTCAAAACTGGCAAAAGACCCAGCCTCTTTCTAGGGAGGCTGCGTTTAGCCTCCCAAGTATTTATCCTTGTGTTTTGTCTTTGGTTTTATTACTTACATCCAGCACTCTCTGAGTTGGCTGTTTATGTATTTTGTCTCTAGGATCACTATGTTCCATGAGCCAAAGGAACCTTTCTGATGGTTTCAGTAATGGCACTCTGCTTGCTTGTTACAGTTGAGCTCCTATATCTAATCCCATCATTTTGTCCAGGATAAGACACTGTTTTATTCTATCAGGATTTTTCATCTCCATTACTACTGGGAGCCCATTTCTGAAATACTACCTCCACTTGATAATTCTTGGCATCAGAGACAGCCAGCACTGACACTCCTGACAATGGTGTTGCCCTTCTTACTGTTGGGGAGGAAGAATTTTTCCTCCACCCACCTAGGTTCTTCTGGCTGGTCTAACACTTAAATTAGCGTGAGACATATTAACATGTAAAAATCAAATTTTAATATGGTATGTACAGGAAATTATAGAAATAGGAAACTCTCTGAAGTAACCACAGTAAGCAGATTTTATGCTTTTAAACAAAGAAATCATAAGTTTGTGAAGAATTAACAAAGGCATTTTGGCTTGGAGTGGTAAATTAGCAATGAAGCAAGAAGGTTATGTTATACAGCCTTCTTGGCCCTAAATTCCCTATCTCTGGTGCTAAGAATGTCTCTCTACCTCCTGGTATAGGGAAAGTACATTTCACATAGGAGATTTTTTGCCTTCTTTCAGTGGGACAAAGGACGGTCAGAGCATCCTTCTTGCACCAGCTGTTTCTTAAATAACTTTAATTCAAAATGATCAATATGCCAAAGTGACACATTTGAACCCCGGCATCATCAAGCATTCATAATAAGTTCGATAAAGAATCCTTCATGCATTCCCTTGAGCAGAGTTGATAGACATTTTCTGGTTGTTCTGACTTTTCATACTATGACCATTCTGAGTCTATGCATTTCTCTGAGTCTTTTAATCCCTCCCTGTACTATCTGTGTTGGAGGCTCCTGATGTTCTCTTTCATACAGTGTAGCCATCCATTTCCTCAAACTCCTAGTACCTATCCTAGTAGCAGGTAAGCACCCTCTCCCAAGGCTGTGCTAAATCCTGTGACCTATAGTTGTCAACTCCACCTCTTCAACATTGGGTTCCCATCTCATTCCGTCCCCACTATCATCCAGTTTCCTCAGGAGCAGCCCCGTGCACACTCAAACATCTCCCCACAATCCTCTGGCATCAAGACCTTTTTCTCCCCTATGAAACCTGGTACATCCCTGGACTTGTTATAGGCTCACTGATGCTGGTTATTGGCCTGGAGGATAGAGGGGACATACCGGGGATTGTGTGGTCTCCTGCCAGGCGGTGGCCTCCAGGACCTCCTCAAGCAAGGGAGGGTCACTGGCCTTCACCTGGTGATTAGAGGGCCGGGCAGAGTCAGTTCTTGCTCTGCCAGCCCAGCCCAGCCCATCAGAGGGATGCACTTGCTGTCAAGAGATGGGGGAGAGGCACTTGTGGGCACTTTTCTTCCAACCCCAACCTTCACTTGCATTTTTCCCTCACAGGTGCTATCTCTCTTAGCTATAAATTCACCATTACTCCTGATGGACAACCATGGTGTAAGATTCAAGGCCAGATCAATGGAAATGAATTTCTTGATTATAACTGTAATAGCCAAAAGAATGCCACAGAGGTCTGGGAGAGACAGACTAAAACTCTAAAAGGCCTGATGGAAGAGCTCAAAAAGAACCTGCTTGACATTAAACCAGAAATTATTAAAATCATTGGTAAGTTTGCAAGGCCCATGGTAGGAGTAGAACACTGTTGTAGGGTTAGGGAACAATTGCATTTATGTAAATACTAGAGGCCCAGTACACAAAAGTTGTGCATGGATGGGGTCTCTACACCTGGCTGGTGATTAGGGACTATTGGGGCCATTTCACCCAGTCCTGATCAGGGCTGGGCTGGCTGGAGCCTTCCAGTTGCCAGCCAGAGCCTGTCAGATGAGAGGAGGGATAGGGGGAGGGACTGCAGGAGGTTTGCTGGCCATGGGAGGTTGGCTGTGGGGGGCGCACTGACCACCAGGGGGCAGATCATGCATTGAGCATCTGCCCCCTGGTGGTCAGTGCATGTCATAGAGACTGGTTGACCGGTCATTCTGGTCATTTGGTCGTACTAGTCGCTTAGGCTTTTATATATATAGATTGGAAGTTGGTTCCACCTAAGAGGCCCAGCAGCCAGGATAGGACACAGAAGACAGAGCAAGACTAGGAGATAGGAGGGGAGAGAGGGCTGGACACAAGGTGGTAGCAAAGGATGTATCAAGACCCAAAGCTGACCTCTTTCCCATGGTGGTAGGGATAGATTCTTTCTCCCTGCAGGGCACCATGATGTGTAAGCAGGAATCCAATGGACACAACAGTGCATCCTGGAAGTTTGGCTTTGATGGACATAAATCTCTCCTCTTTAACGTGGAGAACAAAAGCTGGACAGTGTTGCAACCTGAAGGGGAACCGTTAAAGGAGACATTGGCCAGTGACAGAGCTATGATTGGTGAACTTGTTAGTATCGCTACTCAAGATTGTATAGACTGGCTTCCACAAGTTTCCAGAGCCCAGGGTGAAGTTCTGAGCACAAAAGGTAACTGTGCAGAGGGGATGACGTTGTACAGGTCTCTTGAAATTACATTGACGTTGTGTGTGTGTGTCTGTGTGTTGTGTGTGGTTTGAAAAAGTGATCCGACCGAGGAGTTTGGGGTTTTTTTTGGAGTCTAACAGTCATTGGTATGTTCTGAAATCCTTCCTTTCCCTTGTCACCTCCTCTTCTTCACTGCACATAACCCTAGACCACTCACTGTGGATTTCTTGCTGACCCCAAGGGCATCATTGGGCTTTAGAACTTTTTCCTTGTACTGTTTCCTCTTTGTAGCATTACTTTCCTTCTTCATCTCAACTGGTCTACTTTTGGAATCCTTCAAAACCACCTCAATCAAATCAGCTCCTGAGAGGACTTCTCAATCACCTTCCTCAATCACCTTGTGTCGCAGCAGGAGTGACTGGGTATATTGTAACCCTTGCTTCCCCCATTAGCTGTATGAGCTTCAAGGGGATAGGGCCCATCTCCTCTCTTTGTTCCAATCCCAGTGTCTGTCACATTGGCTGCCACATGTAGAGGGGTAGAAACTGTTTGCATTGCAGGATTGCCTGGGACAGCATCTCAGATTTGGGTTCTGCACAGGATGTCACTCTGTGTTTCCATTACAGCTCCATCCACCATTGCCGCAGCCACAGTTCCGTCCAAGGCCACAACCAGCATGCCCATCATTTCGATCGTCCCTGTGATCCTCACCGGCTCCATCATAGTAGGTATCCTCTGCTGGGGCCTTATAGTAACAGGTGCTGAGGGCAGGATTGAGTGGGAAGTGAAAGGCAGATGGCCAGGGGTGAGGGAGGTGAATTCCCAACCCGACCCCTGATCCCGCCTCACTGAAACTTCTCCTCCTGGAAATTATACCAGGAGACTAACACATGTTATCACTGAACAGCAATAAGTTGCACTAGCTCAGCCCTGAGTTCTGCTGTCTCCTCACTGTTGATGCCAGTGGGAAAAGGAAAGGTTCACACCAAGGCTTAAGGCCTCTAGATGCTGAAGGAGTTTAGGGATTTCAGTTCTGACTCAAATTCTCTGTTTGGGAGAAAGTTTGGGGGCCCAGTGTGGGTGGAGTGGAGACAGCAGGCACAGAGGACATGGGCAGTGCTCACATTCGGGTGAGAGTGGTATGCTGGCTCCGTGTGATATGTCCAGGGAAGGGAATATCCAGGGGGCTGGATCTAATCCCAGGAAGGGTGTTGGAAGGCCTTGCAAACCCAACTCAAAAAGCTGAAGTTCACAGGAAGTGGTTTTGAACGGTCCAGTAAGGAGGGAGGCAAACAGTAAGGACGGTGTAGGGAGGCAAGAGTAAGGTTAGAAGGAGGCCAGTTCTCAGTGAACCCCTGGGATTCCTGGCTGAGCCCTGATGCAGTCACCTGACAGACAGCCTCCTCCATACTCCAGATCCTGAGCCACTGAGTGGCCCAGGGCAGAGGTGACTCAGGACATAGGTGGGGCTGACCACGAATGGATGGGGCAGGGCTGGGACCTTCATACTGAGAGCTCCAGGTGCGGCTAGGTAAGAGGCTGGGAGAGAAGGGAAAAGAAGGATGTTTGACTGCATCCCTCCCCAGGCTGCCAGGTGTTAGGATGGGCCTTCCTGTCCATCAGAGCTCCCACCAGGTCCTTTAGACCCTCCCACCCCCAGGAGAATCAGACCTGAGTGAAGGGAGCAGATTGACTCATTAACCCAGAACATCTGTAGCAGGGCTGGGGTGACTCTGTGATGTGCAAAGGGTGGGCAGAGCTTGGTACAGGCTGCTGGTCCCAGGGCAGGGGTGGCAGGTTCAGGGAAGACATGACTCTGGTGAGGGCAGGGCTGGAGATGGGGAGTGATTGGGGTGCTGTAACCCCAGGAGAACTGACCCAGGATTTCTTCAGCCATTGGTACCAACACTCGCCCTTTTCTGCAGGCTGCCGATGCGACCAAGGAGGCCCTGGTGGTGTGGACCATCTCAGCAACTCTGTCTTTTGCTTGGCTGCCTCTGGATGACCTGCTGTTCTGTTTTTTAAAAATTAATTTATCTTTATTATTTTTAATCTTTATTGTTGCAAGTATTAGATATGCTATTCATTTCATTTCATTTTTAAAAAACTTTATGTTTAATTTATTGGCATGGCAGGTTAATAAAATTATATAGGTTTCAATTCTATGATACATCATCTGTGCACTGTATTGTATGTTCACCACCCCAAGTCAAGTCTCCTTCCATCACCATTTATCTCCTTTACCCTCGTCTACCTCCCCAGCCCCTTTACCTCTGATAATCACCATATTGTTGTCTGTCTATGAGTTTGTGGGGTTTGCTTAATCCTGGACTATTTTCACCCAGCTCCCTGCCCCTCTAACAGCTGTCAGTCTGTTCTCTGTATCTATGAGTCTGTTTCTATTTTTTTAGCTTATTTTATTCTTTAGATTCCACCTATAAGTATGATCATATGGTATTTGTCTTTCTCTGACTGCCTTATTTCACTTAGCATAATATTATCCAGGTCCATCCACTGTCGCAAAAGGTAAGATTTCCTACCTTTTTTACAGCCGAGTAGTATTCCATTGTTTAAATGTACCAGAGCTGTTTTATCCACTCATCTATTGATGGGCACTGGGTCTCTTTCAAATCTTGGCTGTTGTAAATAATGCCGCAATGAACATAGGAGTGAATATATTCTTTCCAATCATTGTTTCGGGTTTCTTTGGATATATTCCCAGAAGTGGAATTGCTGGGTCATATGGCAGTTCCATTTTAAATTGTTTGAGATATGGAGATTTGTTTTATAACCCAGTAGAGAATTCAGAGCATCTCACTGTTCCTCCATGTTATGAGGTAAATATTCCCAGTGATTCTGCTAGAACGTCTTGTGGAAACAGAGAATGTAAGGGTCATTCTTCAGTTAGCAGGCATCTTGTATTGGTCTCAAACATTACCCTGATGCTCTGAATGCAAACAAATGTTCTAGGACTTAACCAATGAGAACTTTATTATTTCTCCAAATCCCCCACCCAACACAGCGACTTTCCTGTGATCTCTCCCCCTGACTCACCTCCTTCAGCTAGAAGTAAGTCTTCTCAGCATGAACATCCCTACTTCTCAAATATTTTTTATTTCTTCACAGATGAAGGGTTCAGAATATCCTGAGTGTCCCAAACAAATGTATGGCTGCTTTGGTGCAACAGCAGAGCTGAGTAGTTGCAACAGACTTAGGCCTGGAATATGTAATAGACACGCATTCACAGAAGTCTCAGACCAGGTTGCTATCAAAGAGAGATAGGATAGGGATCATGCACCCGCATCCTTTTAGGTAAAGGCTGCTACTAATCTCTGTCATTTTGTGCAGGATACAATACTGCTTTAACATTCTCCTTGGGAAAGAGGGACGACAAAATGAGAAAGAAGTTCTTGTACGTCCCCACTGAGGTAGCCCTCACCCCATAGAAAATTCACTAACTACAAAGATCTCTCCATTCTTGGTACAAATATGGGGAATGTAAAGTGATCATTGTTGGATCTGCGGATGCAGTGATACCTCTATGAGAAGGACCTGGACAGATTTCTATTCATTGCCTGCCCTTGTCCCCATGCACCACTTCAACAACAGGGGAGCCATGATGATGCTTTCAATGCCCAGGGATGATGTCAATCACACACCTGGTCCAACCTGTCTCATAAATTCTGGATTTTCTATTTCATGTTGTGTGTTCAACCCTTGTTTTCAAACTCCAAAGACCCATCCTACTAGAAGATTAGCTCCATCTCCGGGAGCCATGCTAAACTCATTGACCCATCATTGTTAACTCTCCCTTCTCCAACATTGGGTTCTCTCTTCCTCAGCTTTCTCAGGATCAGACCCTACACACTCTACCTTCTCCCTGCAGAACCGTGGCATGTTTCTGCCAGTCCTCTGACTCTAGACCTTTTCTTCCCCTAGCTAGTCTGGCATATATGTCCCAGTGTTGGTTATAGACTGATGGATGCTGAGTATTGGCCTAGTGGACAAAGAGGACATATCCGGGGATATGTGGTTTCCTGCCAGGCAGAGGCTTCCTGATCCACCTCAAGCAAGGGAGCCCCTTCCATTTGGGGCTCGGCTTAGGGTTGCCCATAGCGGGTGGCTCTCCGATCTGGAAGGACAGCACAAGAACCCGACCAGGGCTGTGGGGGTCCTCTGGGCAGGCGGGAAGATGGCGGCGGCATGGGTCTCTACAACTTCTGGGTCTCAGTTCTCAAACATCTTAGCTGAACCATCAAGGTCTAATGGAGGTATGCTTCGCCATTCCTCATCTTCATATGTGGTGTATCCACCATATAAGCCTTTCCTTAATTGTGATCTACGATGCTCCCCAAATAAGCCTACACTTGCCTATCCAGTAAGCAACAGCAAAGCCATATTTTCTGCTCTGAAGAATCTTCAAGAAAAAGACTCAACACTTAGAACATGAAAGGATTCAGGTAGAAGAAAGTGTGAAAACCTTGTCTAGAGAAACAATTGAATATAGGAAAGTATTGGATGAACAGATACAAGAAAGGGAGAATTCAAAAAATGAGGAATCAAAGCACAATCAGAACTGACATGTCAGTTGTTAGCTGCAGAAAGTAAATGCAATATTTTAGAAAAGCAATTAGAATACATGTGTAATATGATAAAGGATGCAGAAATGGAAAGGTCATCTGTCTTGGAGAAACAGGTTTCCCTTGAAAGAGAACGACAACATGATCAAACACATGTTCAGAGCCAACTTGGAAAATTGGACCTTCTTGAGCAGGAATATAACAAACTATGCACAATGCAGGCCCTTGACTGGTTATATGAACCCTTGTTCCCCCCATTAGCTGTATAGGCTCCATGAAAACAGGCTCCAGCCCCACCCTCCTTTCCACCCCAAGGCCTGTCTCAGCAGCTGCCCCAAAGTGGAGGGGTAGGAACTGTCTGTATTTGAGGGTGACCTGGCGCAGCAGAAAGTGAGGGGGCATCTCCTCAGATTCAGTGCCTGGACACAGGCTTTCACTCTTGTGTTTTCATTTCAGCACCACCAGGCACAGCTCCATCCAAGGCCAAGTCCATCACTTCAGTTCCTCAAACCCCTGTAATTCCCTAACTTACTCAATCCTCCTTGGCAGAGTAATATAGGGTAATAGGTACTGTGGGCAGCATTGAGAGTCAATTAAGAAGCAGATACACTGGCATGAGGACGGCAAAGGTGAATTCCCAGCCAAATCCTGCCCCATTGCCTGGCCATCTCATCCTGGAAATTAACTCAGCTGAATATGTATAAGTCAGGGTTCTCCTGAGAACCAGAATCATTAGGAGATATACTGCCACCATCTGAAACACCCGCCAGCCAGGCTTCAGAGGTGCCTCTTGGGCGTGGCTATGGACACTCCCTGCCAGCCTGACAGGAGTGAGCGCTCGTGTCCAAGGTGACCCAGCGGGTGATGGTGAGAACTGTAAGCAGCATGTCGACTATTGTCCTTGTTGCTGTGGGACTGGCACCAGGAGATGGAAAGCTGGAGACCTTAATCCTGAAGCCCTGGACGTGCCGTTGTGAGGCCTCCTCCAGGGCTCCCATATATTTCTATTTTACTTATTATCATAGCGTAGATTTAAAATGTACTCATTAAAAATAGTCTCTTTTGTCTGTGTCATTCATTCTGGTACATAAACATGGGCCAAACCTGGTGTGGCTCAGTGGCTGAGCATTGACCTATGAACCAGGAAGTCAGGGTTCCATTCCCTGTGAGGGCACCTGCAGGGTTTCATATCTCCAGTGGGGGGCGTGCAGGAGGCAGCCCTTCAATGATTCTCTCCCATCATGGATGTTTCTCTCCCTCTCCCTTCCTCCTGAAACAATAGAAATTATATTTTTAAAATTTTTTAAAAAAATAGTCTCTTTTTTTTAGCTTTTAGGCAACATAGAAATTTGTTAAGTATGTAGTTATTACTTTATGTACCTTTGTTTCCCTTTTAATTTTACCCTTCCCCCATGCCATCTAATGTCTTTTTATTTTTCAATTAGATTACATTCAATATTACTTTGTATTAGTTTCAGGTATACTCAAAAGTAAAGTGTCCCCTCAATGTTTCAGGTACCCACCAGGCCCCATATATACGGATCACAGTACAAACCACCTGTACTCCCTATGCTATCATCTACTAATAGAGTTAGTGCGCACCCTTGTGGTGCTGCTCGGACATTGTAGACAAGTAGTGTTTTAGGCGCTTACACCGGCCACGCATCTTCTCTGCATTAAACATGCTTTTATATCATTCCTTTTGAATTTATTCAACTAACTTGTTGAAAAAATTCCAATGAATTGGAATTACTCTGGCTAAAAATACTCAATTTATATATAGACTCAGAAGTTAGCTTTTCCCTCATTCTAGGTCCTTCTCTTTATTCTGCCTCCCCCTGTTTGAGACTTCAAACTGTGCAACACTGTTCAAAGCTGTAGACTATTAGGTGTCATTTTCTTTATTCTGCTCACTGACACTGCAGAGAAGTTATTCTTAATCACTGCTCAGCAAAATCATATATGCTCACTGCTTAATCATCACTTGTATTTTTTCATTTCATTTTTCCAGCTTCCTTGCATTATTATAGTGTCACTGGATTTTAAGAGCTTGTTTATAACTAAAGATGTTAACCATTTCTCATGTATTGCAAATGATATACCATGTTTTTTTGTTACTATTTTACTCTGCTGTTTTACTTTTCGGTAGTATCAAACTTGTGCATTAAATATAATCATATTCTGTTTTTAAAAAAATAGGAGATATAGAGCTAGACTACAGATAAAGAGAGGTAGAGGTAGAGGTAGAGATAGAGAGATGAGAGATAGAGCATTATGGACAAATATTGTGGGGAATGAACAATTAGATACTATCTGTGGCGGGGGGGGGGGGGGGGAGTACCTTTGTGGGTGCTGTGAGATCTAGCAGCATACGCTGAGGGACCCAGGACAAGTCTCACTCAACTATGAGTCTGGTAATAGGCACCAGAACACTG